TCGCAGCGTGGCCCTGTAGGCGGCATCTTTTTTCTCTGCGGCTTCTTGACATTCCTCATCGTACCAGTTGTTCTTTCGGGCTCGCTGAAATCCAACTACTTCTTCGGCGGCGGTACTTAATGATCGGGAAATGTGGTTCCACTGCTCGCGTACGTCGGATTGTTGAAGAGTGCTCTCAGAGAGCAGGTGTGTGAGTCGAGTGGCGAATAAATTGGCCGTCTGTTGTGATTGCAGCTTTTCGACGTTAAGCTTTCCTTGCATTGTTGGGCGCACATTTTTTTGCTGCACAGAGGCGGGTGCGTATCTTGGCTACAACAAGATAGTGGTCCGAGTCGATGTTTGGCCCTCGGAGTGTACGTACGTCCAAAACGCTTGAAGCATGCCTTCCGTCTATCACAACATGATCGATTTGGTTTCTCGTTTTTCGATCTGGAGACAGCCATGTAGCTTGGTGGATGTTCTTATGCTGGAACCTAGTACTACATATTACCATATTTCGGGCCCCGGCGAAGTCGATCAGCCTCAGTCCGTTATCGGACGTTTCGTCGTGGAGGCTGAATTTTCCGACAGTGGCGCCAAAGATCCCTTCCTTGCCCACCTTGGCATTAAAATCGCCAAGCACGATTTTGACATCGTGTCGGGGGCAGCGCTCATATGTACGTTCCAAGCGCTCATAGAAGAGATCCTTGGACGCCTCATCCTTCTCTTCCGTCGGGGCATGGGCGCAGATGAGCGAGATGTTGAAGAATCTAGCTTTGATGCGGATTGTGGCTAGACGTTCGTCCACCGGGGTGAACGCCAGTACTCGGCGACGGAGTCTCTCTCCTACCACGAATCCAACACCGAATTTGCGCTCCTTTACGTGGCAACTGTAGTAGACGTCGCAAGGCTTCACGCTTACTTTACCTTGCCCCGTCCATCGCATTTCTTGGATGGCGGTGATGTCAGCCTTTGTCTTCCCGAGGACATCAACCAGCCGGGCAGAGGCACCTTCCCCATTAAGGGTCCGGATATTCCAGGTGCATACCCTTAAATCATAGTCCTTTATACGTTTGCCGTGGTCGTCATCAGAAAAAGGGGGTCTCATCCGAGGCTTGTTGGAATTTTTCATTGGGCGGGGTTTTAACGTGGCGGGACCCAAACCCAGCGCACGCGAAGTTTTACGCCTTCTCACTTTAGCTCGCTCCCAAACGGGTGTTTGGTTGCTACCCAGAGGATACGTGGATATAAATATCCGGACGTTGTGAGCTGCGATTTGAACCGTACGCACAAGAATCGCTTCTGGCCACTCCCAGGTGAATGGCAGTCAAAAGTTTTCCACTTCTGCGCACGGAACCATCCATGTGTTTTAATTCCCAATAATATTGCTGCGCCTTCACCTCAGACATTTTTGCAACTTTGGTCAATTCATGTATATTTTCTTAACCCCCTGCTTCTACATAGTGCAATTCTGAATACGTACATATAAAGAGTCCTAGTACTGCCGTAGTGGTGGCATGTTCATACGTAAATAGCTCAACTTTATTCAAAGACAACACCTATGAGTCTATCACCAGAGCGATTTTATAAAGATCCGTCAAGACCATACGTGGACTGACAATCACTCTGTAGGTCCGATGTTAAGTCTGGTGCATAGAATAAAAGCCGTAGTCATTTATAATATATGCGGCAGCGATTCCTCACTTGACAGTAGCGTTAGGTATAGCTGCTTCCCTCTTACTTTGCTTACCATCATCACTGTCTAATCTTGGGAATGGTCTCGAAGGTTCCTCCGGAACCCGGGCCCTGGTCGGTGGTCAGTTGGGGATATTATTCCTTTGTACAGTCACAAGGTTAGCGTCCTGGTAGGGCTTCTCCAGGTTAGAAATCGCCTGTTTATAAAGCATCGCTGATCTCTATTCGGCAATGGACATAGGCTTTATCTGTCGCCGGTATCGGCGTCCATGACTTCAGGTAAGGAAACAGCATACCTTCCAAGGATATTCTTGAACACCAGCAAGAGTTATATTAGGATAGACCTGCAGTTTTCTGCCTTAAGATTTCAGTTCGGGTGTTTCCTGTCAAGGATCGGCAGGACTAGATGCTTCCTGGTGACTTTACTGATGTACCTGCGACCGCTTGGAGGGATTTTCGCGGGGAAATTATAGCAAAAACTCATCCTTCTCAGTTCGTTGGCGGTGTTCTATTTCGGCCGTTGCCTTTTATACCCAAGTGGAGACCTTTTTCTCTTTAGGAACTAACACAGAAACAACGCATTAAAAAATCAGCACTGTACTGAATTAGTGCTCCATTTTTATCTGATTTTGAGCTAAACTTCGCCTTATAACGATGCCAGCTACCAGTCATTGGCCTCGTTAGTTTTTTACGAAATTATGTCCTTTCTCCTTACCCACGTGAAAGCTACTCTTAGACAAGATTCGCGCAGACCCGCGTAGTCGGGACGCTACATGATATCCAGATATGTTAACCACCCCCAGTTTCAGATCAATATCTATTGTTTGGTGGAAATTAAACAGCTGCTTGAATAATGCGATTCTTCATAGCACACTGCCATCTTAATGCGAGAGTGGCTAGACACAATAGTCATAAGTGCTGCGCTACGCTTCTCAAAGCCAACTTCAAGCTCTGGGTGTAGCTTATGCTTACTTTTAAACGCTGTACATCTCAGCGCGATAGATGAAGACATTGAACAACAAAAAAAATCGAAAAGATAACACAAGCAAACATGCATACCTTACATATGCAGGCACGCTTAAAGTTTACGCAACTTTAAAATTTTGCCTTGCTCAACGAACTCAGCAATCATCAATTAGGCAATGACGATAGCAACGACAACAGCAAAGGCACGAATACGCCTTATATCTGTGAGATGCAAGTATCTGCTTCCAAGTCTTATATGAAAACGACGCCGTCGCGCTGTGCATAAATAAACAAAACACATCAGCTGTTACTTCCAATGAGTGTGTTATTGGAAGTTGTCAGGCGCGCCGGTAAAAACCACATGGGTGAGTTAAAAACTTATCTGGGAGAGTGATTGTGAGAGAGAAAATTTTATTTATTGCTTGCGAGGGGACGAAAATGTTGCTTGCGTTATTATTGCCTGGCGTGCGCCGAGTTTAAGAAATTTATAGCATGCAAGCTAAATACGGGTAGAAATTTATGCTAACATCTGAAAGTTAGATAAAATTATGCATATTTTATGTAGATGAAAGAAAATTTTTAGAGTAAAAGAGTATGAGGTAAGTTCTGCGAAAAACAACTGACACACCTATAGGTGCTTCATTGAGTTATTGAAACTTTTTCTAGTGCTTGACGACCTTAGGTCGGCCTACTACCTCGCTTTGACTTCTTAATATGCTGGTTTTTGATACGGCAATGATGTACGGATAAGTGGGTTACACAAAAACTTATGGAGCTAATAGTTATGACGACACGAGTAATGGTGAAAACCTAATTTGGGGTTTAAGGTACATGGAACCTAAGTTTAGCACACTTTACCCGAAATCTAAGAAAGTGTTTGCCATGCCATCTTTGAGCAGAGATCAGCCATTCTTTTCTTGATTATGAGTCTTGCTGGCAGTACACATTTATCATACCAAAGTTCATTGTTGTTGTTGTTCTAGCGTCTTACTTAGTTCTGAACACAATCGGCAGCCCTTCGATCGTTGTCGTCAAGCTCAACTAACGCTTGGCCCGGAGAACGCGGTGTTTCGGCGGAGTGCGATGAGAGGGAGAGGAATTTCAATCAGTTGGGCTGAGTGAGTATGTGAAGTGGTGGTTGGTGTCATGGTCATACCTTCACATGATGGACATACAATTGATACGTCGGAGTCTAGTCTGGATGAGTAACATACTACAGTATACAGACCGTAATTGAGCCAGAGTTACGCGGGTCTCTTTATGTAGTTGAAACTTACTATTAGCATCTGGTGGTGGCTGTACTCCAATGACGGTCATTCATCGCCTGTCTATACAGTGCACGGTTCGGTGGATGTTGAGGGAATTGTTGGACCTCCTCCGTTAGTTTTTAGAGGTACCTTCTGAGCTGTCTAGATAGAAGCTACGGCTCAAGAAAGTGTCAGTTCGGGTGATGGCGTATGTAGTTCCCTATTACGAACTGCCTGCTGAGCATAAAGTTGCCCTCCCTTACTGGGACCATTTAGACCTCCCTGTGAATTCCGACGTCAACCGGTCCTGGAATGGCCTGGGTTTTACCCAACATAAGTTGTCTAAGCACGATTAGATCGGTGAAATCTTTTTACTGAAGTTACACGGTTGGTGTAGAGAATACGTTTTCTTTATCGACCTAGAGTGCTCTTTAAGTATGTATTTTCAGCAGTCAAGTTCAGTGTAAGATTCTACCCTGATCAACTGCCTTATTTCAAATATTTTTTGTTTTTTTAAACCAAAATTCCACAACGCACAAAAAAAAAATAACTCAAACTTACTGGAAGTTTGGATTTAGGAAATCGCCTAAATTTGGCCTTCAAAGGTCCAATGATATATCACCTAAAAAGTTCGAATTTTAAAGCATGTTAGGAAAAATATATCATGAAATAGTTTCTACAGAAAAGTTATAAAGATGAAATTACAATTTTTAGCTACATTTTTTTTTTTGATTTCAAAATGTCATGCAATTAAATGTTTTGAAATGCAAGACAGCATTTATTGTATATTTTCTTGTACGATACTTTTTTTATTGAAGTAAATTGCATGAGATGCTGATGTTTTCGGGTCTAGCAATTTCATTAAAAATATCTCATCACTTTGCACAAAAAGGTCTACTTCCACCAATTTTTTTCTCGCTTGCTACAATTTTTTCACAATTGCCTTCAACACCAACTGGAAGACTTTTCTCTCGCAGACGAGTGCGTATTCGCTCATTCTCTCTTCAACGGCCTATCAAAAATTAATGGAAATTCCGATGAGCAAGCAACGAAGTGAATGAATCCAACTAGCTAGCCGCAGGAGCGAACAACATCGACCGTTCTTGTTGAGGCGCCTCAGTCAGCCAACAGCCAAGTAAAAGCAAAGCAGTGGAGCACTTTGCCACGACCCTGTGTGGCATGTGGCAGTTGTAAACGCATCGTGTGCAAGTCAAGTTGTTAGCAGCGGTTAACGTGTGAATTTAAAGTAAAGAAAAAAATAAACGACAACGCGGTGTAGAAGTGAATTTGAAGTAGAGAGCGTGTGTGAATAGAAGAAGTCTTGAAAGTTTATCAGTAAAAATTTAACAAAAAAAATAATAATATTTAATGAATGCAATTGATTGTTGCTGTGTTGTGTGTGAGAAAAGTAATTATTGAACAAACGCTTCAATGAGCTACTGATAGACGAGTGCGTGAATGTGTAAAAGTCAGTCACACGCTAAGTTAAACGCTGCTGGCTGATAAGCTACACATGTATATGTGTATGTATGTATGTATATATGGCTACAGAGCAAGCCACTGAAGTATCGAGCGGAAGCGTAAATATTTAGAAAATATACAAAGAAAACATTTGCTATAAGAAAATTGTGCAAAAGGTCAACGAAAGTTCACCAAAAGCAACCGGCAACGCCTTGACGCTCGACGAAGTGAACAGAGAATTGACGCTATTTTGTGACAGTTACGCCTGCAATAAGCGCGAAGGGGTGTTGAGAGTGGCAGTGCAAAAGTGTTGCGCGGAAGTGACAATTATACAGTAAAAAGAAGAAGAGGTGGAAGCTAAAGTGACATTTGTGAACGTTTAAGAAGACACTTGAGTGTTGGTAGGCTCATAAGAACTTTTATGATCCCAGACTAGTGCTATAAAAAGTGGTGTAAAGTGGTGGAGCGCCTCTGAAAAAGGTGAGATATTGCAAAAAAAAGCATAGAACAAAAACCGGAATTCTATGCACACACTTTAGCCTTTTTATATATGTTTCTAATGCGTTGAACATTTGACCGCGCGCAGAAGAACGCTTGCGAAAGAAAAGGCATTTTTAAAAGCTCAGACGCCACTAAAAGATGCAAAAATTACTGTTGCGTCCAAAGCGCCTCCCAACGCGCACATTTTAATTAGCAACTAACTACTAACAACCCACCGCGCGTTTCAGCGCCCCTCTAATGCACAATAAAGAAGTGTTTTACAACACGTTCATTTTCCCGAACTTTTGAAACGCTATGCTGCCTAGTTTATTTTATAATATAGCTGTCAATAAATTAAGCTTAAGCTTAGCGCTTGCAATTAACTTGTTATTGTTGTTGTAAAGTGCTTTAAAATGTATGCAAGTTTGTAGATGAACTAAACGAATTCACCGCGCGCGCGGCCTATGAAGACATTTAAACTCGTCAACGTTACTTAGCTCATCATCAGCTCCTAAACTAATACTGTTATTGCATCTAAAAAGGTAGAGCCTTGAAAGCGCTGGTAAAGCAAATTGTGTAAAAATTCACAGTAAAGATTCTAACAGCGCAAAGTCCTAAGCGCGCGCTTACCATTTACTGTTCTTCAATAAAGCGCGTTATTTACCTTTTTAACTGCTCCGAGCAACGGTTGTTATAATTGTTGTACTTGCGCTATTGTAAAGTAAATTAAATGCAATTTTCACGCATTCTTTGTTGACATTAGCTACGCCAACATTGCCATTCAACAAAGCGTAATTGGCAAACTGTGTGTATGTTTTGGGTTTGTTTTTGTTGTAGTGTTTCTTTTTGTTGTTGTTGTCATAATGTGTTTACATGTGGCATATAAATGTGATTGGCTGGAAATTGATTTATGTCAAAACACAACGCGTACAAAGGAAATCAAAATAAGCCAGTGAGCGAGCGCCAGAGGATTGGCGAAAACCAAAGTCCAAAATCAAAAATAATTGAAATTGAATTAAATCCTGCGAATGAAACGACAAGCAAACAAAACAAATTGAAATGAAAGAAAATTATATTTTTGAAAATCAATCAGCAAATCCAATTGTATTGTTGATGAAAGTGAGCAGTTAGACCAACCAACAAAACAGTGAAGAAATAAAAAAAGTTGCAAGAAAAAAAAA